TCAACTAGCATAAATCATTCAAATAATGTTAAGGTACCACTAATTAAGTTGAACCATGATCAAAATTATGTATGTGTTCTATTAATTGAAATCAATTTAACGATTTAAATTAATTAATTAATCTAACACCTATTTACTAAAATAAATGATTGTCGATCCAATTATCTAATTGGGATTAATTGAAAATAATATTCCAAAAATTAAAATCAATTTGTTTTAAGTTTAATTTTAGAAATCTGAAATACTTTTTTTTTTTTTTTTTCAGTGAACCGGTTCGGCCCAACCGGTCTGACCGGTTCGGACCGAAGCGGTCCGGTTATGTCCGGTCCAGCAGACCCAAATCAGTGGGCCGGGTCAGTCGGACCGGGAACCGGTCTGACCGACCCGAATCCACGTGGATTCGGTCAACTAGGTCGCACACAACCATCGAACCGGCCGGTTCGACCGGTTCGATCCGAACAACAAAAACCGACGTTTTAAAAACAATTTCAGATCCGATTTTCCAATTTTGAACAATTTTAAAGCTGGAAAAATTCTAAACAATATTTCAAAAATATTTTAAACTTACGAAAACTCCCAATTACATAATACAACAATCACTACTTTAATAAATCGAACATGCATAAAATCATAGCATATTAAACGCGAACGCAATTAATTGCGCAACGAGCTCTGATACCACTGTTGGATTTTGGGCACGTGTACGCAGCGGAAAACAAAAATTTTATGCGATTTAAACCACTTTAAAACACATAAGCACATGCCCGATAAATTAAATCAATTAATTGCGTACCTTTGCGCTTCCAGCGAAATTAAAAACAACATACATGCTAAATAATTTAACCGAATTTAAATCAATTAACATGCTCGCGTATAAACCAACTATCATGCTTGCAATGATTAAAACGATTACATATAATCACATAAAATCATACGAAAGCAAACATGAATATTTAGTTTAAACGTAAACGAATCGAAACAAGGGATTCGTGTGTTTACCTCTTGAAGCGTGAGGTAGGAGCGCTAAGCAAGTCGAGATTGCTACGGAAACCAATCCGTACAATCGGGGCAGCAGCAGTGCAGCGGCAGCAGCGGCGAGACGGGCCGTGGCGGCGCGTGTAACTCACGCGCGGTCTTCGGGCGGCGCGTGGGGTTGCGTGCGGCTTCGGCTCGTGTGCTGCTCCTCGATTCTTCGATCTTCAATCTTCCTCCTCTCGGATTTCACCTCGTATACTTTGATCTACTAAACACGTGGCACTAGACACGTAATAGTTAGAAAAACGGAAGAAAAAAAGAAGGAAAGATACTACCAAAGCAATCGGCCGATGAACGGCCGATTCCGGCGAAACGGCGGCTTTGACGGCGGTGGTGGTCGCGGGAGAGAGAGGCCGAGAGAGAGAGGTGAGCGGCTAGGGTTTTGATTAGGTCTTGTCTTTTGTGCAAGGCCTATAAATCAAGTATTTATAGTCCCTTGCATAAAACCCTAACGGGCTTAAGTTGGACCGGGCCCAACAGCTTAAGCTCGTTTGTTCCTTTACTGGCTCGTCTCTCTCAATTCAATGATCGGAAAATTGCAACAATTACATTTTCGGAATCATTATAATATCCTCGTCATTACGAGTGTCAACTCTCATTTTCCAACTTTCCAACAGTGGAAACCCTAGTTCAGTGCACTTTCTAAATTTGGAAACTTCCCGATTTAGAAAGTTCACTAACACGTTCGCCTATTCTTTTCCTTTTTGTATTCTCATTCATAATTCCAAATTACAAATGTTGGATCCAATCATATTGACTTCCAATCATGCAAAGATAAACTATTTTATCTCTGACCGTTTATTCAAAGATCTCATGTGCACGAGCAGTGTGACCCTCGATGGTTCAGGTGTAAGCTAGCCGTGGGCCCACAACCCTTTGTGGTCAAAACTCGTCCCTTAGAGTTACGATTAAGATGAAGCTCGTTTCACCTTAATCACCCAACGAATCAAGATTGGCGTCTAGCAACTACGCGTCATGATTCCCTAGATACAAATGAAGTGCCTGCAAGAACCTTCAGATATAGTTAACGTACAGTACGGTCCCTTCGATTCATATGTCCCGATCGAACTAGAGGCATTGGTTCATCGAGACCTCTTTATATGTTCGATGACGGTGCGATCGTTCCAAGTGTTGTAATCGTCACGTGCATGACTTAGAGAATCGAATTCTCTAATCATCACTTAGTCAGCTCTGGCCAGAGACTTAGAATGATTACAAACTTTCAGAACACACAGGACATCCAAGACTATTCTAGCGATCGAATCCCCGACTACAATGCACAGACATCCCACTAGATTTCGGACTGCACGAACACTGGCCCTTGGGATGGTCCTCGGTGGAACTCAGGGACAGGTCACGATACAGCTGGTCCTCTAGTGAAGTCACGGTGATGTCTAGGTCATAAGGACTAATGGTGTACAACTATACCATAGATATCTCTACTCGATTATTGGGAACCACTTAGAGATTTCTAGGGTGAGGGAGTTCAGTGAACTCGTCAACTTACGAGCACCCACTTATGCATGCCGATATCACAATACCGTTTACTGATGAGATGCAGTACACATACACTAAGTGCTAGTCTTAATGGGAAAGGCCGATATCCTCATTAGTGGCATAACCTTTCGACTAGAAACACGTTTAACAGTTATAATACTTGAGTAAATATCTCACGATCCTAACGATCAATTACTAGTACTTGTAATAACTGTAAGGACTATATCTATGCTTGTGACAAAGGGACAAACATATAGAATGCCAAGGTGATTATTAATACGAATAAAGGTTCGTTTATTACAATAATAAATACGAAAGACCACAGCCACATGTTGGCTTGTTGGTCACCTACTCTAACATTTTCATCATGAAGAAAGCGGTCAAATATCCTTTTATTATCAAAGTTGGTCAATCGTCATTTTCCTATGTTTCTCTGACCTCTACCCCACTTGAAATCGAGGAGACTAGGGCTACATCCGCACCTTCCCAAATTCTTTTATTTTTCATTATTTGGTATATCATAATTTTAGTTTATTGATTTTTTTTTTTTTTTGTATGAATGGAATAAAAATAGGGGTCTTAAGATATAGGTTCCTTATGACAAAACTTATTAGAACTAAATGACAAGCCCAATTAAACATTTGTTTCACATCCTTTATAAAATTCATTCCAAAAATACCCTTCCACTAAGTATTAAGTAAATTCAAACTGCATTTATCATTTTTTTGCATTTAATACTTTCATTTTTCCATATAACTTTTTAAATTGTTTGTTTTACAGAATACCATTTTGTCTTCGTTTTTTTTGTTTCTTTCTTCATTTCAAAATTTTATACAATTTTATAAAAAAATAAAAAAAAATCTTTTTTATACATAATAATGAAAATTACAAAAAAAAAAACATGTTATTTTTTTTTTAAATTCAATTTACCTATTTTTCAATTTTTTATTTTATTTTTATTTTTCTTTTATTAATAAATATAGTCATCTATAGTCATCGTAGTTGCTATCTTCGCTTGTAGACATCTAAAACTTAAATTTCACTTCATCGCACATCCTCTATATGTTCACAGTCTGTAGTAGACTGCTGTGGTGTACTATGGTATCCTCTATATATTCACAGTCTGTAGTAGACTATAGTATACTATGGTGTAATATGGTATACTATGGTTTACTACGGTGTCTATTCCAAACTCTAGCCGCCAACCCTAGCAGTCAAAGCAACCTCCGCCCAAACCCTAGCAGCCAAAAGTCGCAGCCGTCACAACCGTAGTCACCTACCCCTTTTGAAAAATCTAAATCTGCACAAATCGAAAACAATAACAAATCATATCCAAACCAAGAAAAAACTTTTAAGAAAAACAAGAAAATCAAATCCAATTAGTCTATGCTTGCAATTACAGGTCTTTAACAAAAAAAAAATGAAGAAAATCGATTTGTTTATCTATTTTCATTACCAAATCATTATTAAAAAAAAATAGAGAAAGACCTGCTCCCTCCATCGCACAATCCCCGCCGCACAACCCCGCCGCACAACCCTTTGCAACCACCACCTTCTCCACCACTGCCTACGCTGGATCTGTTCCTGCTCCTGCTGCCTTCAGGGCTGCCGCCGGCGGCCTTCATGGAGAAAGGAAGAGAGAGATTCGTGGAGAAAGGAAGAGAGAGATAGAGAGGTGACAAGAAAAAATGAGAGAGAAAGAGGGAAGAAGAGGAAACGCAAGAGAGAGATGGAAAGAGAAACTGAGATAAAATATGTAAAGAATAGAAATAAATCTGAGTTAAAGAAATGTGAATACATAGGTTATAAAATTTATGGTATAAGGGTAATATAGGGATAAGAAAAACTTTAGGGATTTTGCTCATATAGTATTTCAAACTAAGGATGTAATTAAAAGATTTGATTTGAACTTATCATTTAGTTCAAATTAGGTTTGATTTAAGGGACCTATAGCATATTACCCCATAAAAATATATGTTCTTGTTATTGTTTTAATAAATGAACTATGAAGGACTGATATTTGAACATATTTATTGAGTTGAAAGTGATATTTTCATTATATTTGTAATTTGTAAAACATATTGGATGAATTATGTATTTTGTTAATACAAAACATCCGTACTGTTGTGGTCGCGGATCCTACTTATAGAGTATATCCTTTTGGATGTTCACAAAAAAATAAAAAGGATAAACTAGACAAACTTGATCGACTAACGAAAAGAGGAGGAGGTTTGCATAGATTTTTTTTGATGCCCAACAAGTTAATAATATAGAAATAGTCGTATAATTTGGTTACACAGCCAAGTGAAGTTGAAATCTTGATTGTAAGTAGTCAACCTCAATGAAGTTGCACAGAAAAATAAAAAGTTCATACCATACTTCAAATGGAAAAAAAAAAAAGAAACATAAATATTAGCACACCACCACTGAACGGTGAACACAAAAAAAGGAAAAGCGCATATTTCCGAAAGCCCCGGCGGCCTCTCACATTTCATACGTCATTCCAACTCTAAGAAGCCTGGTACGAGGTATGGCCAAAACTTTCTCCCCTTGTCTGAAGTTCTTCCTCAAGAAACTATACGCGTAGTTTATCACAAACTTATGTAGCAACGACGAGTCTTGCTTCGCCACCACTTCCGCTTCTCCAATCAGATAAAACACGCCTTGATCCATCGCTGTCTGAACAAACCGCAACTCTTCGTCCACCCCTTGAACAATATTCCTATTATTATTATTATTATTGGATGAATGTGATGCACTGATCATTGATTGGATAGAGCTCGACGAAATCCTCTGCGGTGGTATTTGTTGATCCAACGCTTCTTCTATATGAACAGTAGAAGCACTCGATTTTCTGGCCTTTACAGAATTCTCGGGCACTAATTCTTCAACAGGACCACTTTCGAGCATGAAATTCTCGTGCCTGATAAACTCTTTCAAATTCTCCACAAGCTGCCTTTCGAACTCGTGCGGCTCCTCTATGATATCTTTGTATCCATATCTCACAACGCACCGGAACACTCTGTATTCTCTCGGCTCGACCTGTCGGAATAGAAACCTCTCCTCCAAAACAACTTTGCTGATAGGGATTGACTTTATGGAGACAAATACCACCACCGAGTGAATCGAGGGAATATTTGAAATGAAGTGAGGAAATATCGGTGGGATTCCTTGCACAAGTTCGGAGTACAAAAGCCCGATTCCCGGGATTCTACTTATAGCCTCGTTTTTAGCCAGATCGCTCACGTAAACGTTAGAAACCTTGTGATTAAGCTCGAACAAGTAACGTTGTTGGTGAGTGTAATGCCACACACCCATCATTATCATAAGCACGAGAGAGAACGCTAGCGGAAGGTAGCCGCCTTGGGTGAACTTGTACAAAACAGACGAAAAGTACAAAAGCTCTATAGACATGAAAACGACCACGAATAAGGTTATCCACCAAATTTTGGTCTTCCAGATGAGGAGCATTATCAATGTAACAAGAGATGTAGTTATGAGCATCACGGAAACAACCGCAAGGCCATAAGCATTGCCGATCTTTTCGGTGGTCTTGAAACCATAAGTAACAATGACACATGCAACCATGAGAATGTAGTTGATCTCGGGTATATAGACTTGCCCCTCGTACTTTGCTGAAGTGTGAACAACTTTCACCCTTGGGAAACACCCTAGGCTCAGTGACTGGGATATTATTGCAAATGATCCCGATATCATAGCTTGACTTGCAATTATCGCAGCAGCATTAGCCACAACGAATGTCGGCCAATAAATTGGACCTATATATAATTATACCACAAGATCAGATTAGCAGACTATTAATTTCTACGATACTAAGGCCTCGTTTGGTTGTCAACACAAGATCAACCCAATATGAGCTTAAATAATCTAATGAAACTCAATTGTATTACTGTACAATTGAAGGTCCGTAAAAAAAAGGGTAATTGGCATTTGACACCCTCCAATTATGCTCATTGGCACTTTGCACCCTTAAATTAAATATGGTACATAGCACCCTCAAATTAAGATTTGCTTGGCACATTGCACTCCAAGACACTTGTCTACTAAAATTTGTGTCTGAAAAAAATGATATTACCATAATTCAATGGCCAAAATAGTCAAGTATTGTTAATTACATCCGTGAACGAGGAATAATATAAATATTTTCTGTAGTTAAAAAGATTGGTAGTGAATTTATTCACAAATTTACCCTTTCAATTCCCTCGAAATCCTTTCATTCTACTACTTATAGGTTCTGGGGTGCACTATGCCAAATAAATCTTAATTTGAGGGGGCAAATTGCCATACTTTTTATTTACGGGTGCAAAGTGCCAAATGAGCATCATCGCACGGTGCAAAATGCCAATTACCCTAAAAAAAACTCCCTAAAAGGCAAAATAAGCTATAATAACATAATACTTACGGGTCAACCACGAAGTTATTGGGCTTACAAAACATCAAACAAAGTCCAATTATTTAGTTAATCATGACCGATAGCCTCAACCAAACGAGGCCTTAAAATTGATTTTGTATGAATAATTTAGAAACTTGCCTGGTATAGAATCATAGAAAGTGTGTGCTACATTTTCAGGGAACTTGGTAAGATATGCAGCTTGTCCAATGTATGCCGCCAATAGAGAAGGAAATACAATCCCTGAGAAACTTATCTGTACGTACAGTTCAAGATGATATCAAATAATCACACGGCGCATTCAAAGCATCATTAGTTATTACATTACGATTCGGAGACTTACTTGGACAGCCCGTACATTAAAGTGGCCTAAATCAGCAAACATAGCCTCAGTTCCTGATCAATTACGTCGGACAAGAGAAAAGGAAAAAAAGAATGTTTATCAGGAAACAAAGGAAGATCAAGAATTAGATTACGGGACGGGAAACGCAATACTGACCTGTGATACAGAGAACAACACCGCCTAGAGATACCCATCCTCTTTTACCGTTTCTTTTGAAGTAATCAAAAATGTATTTAGGATTGAAGGCTCTTAAGACTCCCAAATCATGTTTAAATAAGTTGTACAACCCGATCCCACTTATGAAGAGAAACCATAAGCAAATGGCCGGAGCAAATGTGTACCCCACTTTATCCGTGCCGAATCGTTGGACGCAAAAGATAACAATCAATATGGCAATTGAAACATAGACAACAGCTTCTGCAAAATCAGAACCAAATTAGTAATTGACTTAATAATATGATCACTTGATCGGATCGTAACGTACATTTGAAATAAGGCCATACAAGATCTCTGAAAAAAATTGTATATATCTATATACCTTCATGCAGAGGCTTGATTCCACCGACAGCAGAAAGAACTACAAACAAGAAAAAACAAAAAAAAAAAAAAAAAAAAAAGTCCATTAACTTTTATAAAGACCATTTTATCGGAATAACGGTCAACGCCGGAATCCGGCGGCAAAAAAAAGTTTTTGAAAAAAAAAAAATTTTTGAAAAAAAAAAAATTTTGGGTCAAAATTTAATAATTTGTGAAATTTGGGGTCAAATTGAGATTAAATTAAGTTAAGGATGAAATTGGAGCATATTAAATTATACTCCAAAAAAAAGTCAAAATTGAATTTTTGTGGTCAAAATTGAACTTTTATGGACAAAATTGATTAATTTGGATTACAATTAAGAATTGGGTATAAATGATTGAGGGTAATATTGGGATATACATGAATGTTTCCTTTAGTTATAATAAATATTAAAGGGATGGGCTTATTGGTGAAAGAGATATGTCCCCTATACCTAGAATAATAAACATGCTTGGTTGGGGACTTTTGCATAAAAATCCCTATATATTAAGATTTGAGATATATTGACGAAAAATACGAGATTGATAATTGTTGATAATTAGTACAGAAAAAATATTAAAAATAAATAATTACAGAAATACCATTAAGGTTTTTTAGGGTTACCCGGCGTTTCTTTCTTTTATATATAAGATAAATAATTACAGAAATACCATTAAGGTTTTTTAGGGTTACCCGGCGTTTCTTTCTTTTATATATAAGATATAATGTTGGTGGATGCTAAAATTTCGAGTTTGCCAAATTACTAGTAGGAAAAATGGCTTTTTATTATAATTTTTTTGCTATATTAAAAAATCATTAGAAAATGTACATTTTACTAAAGCGGCAATCTGTGGGCCATACAAATATTAGGATAATCGCAGCTAAAAAATATTTGCTACGACCATTTTTCTCCGTATTCATTGCGGAGAAAACTGATCATTGTAAAATCCTAGCCAAAAACTTTTTACTACGAATTTGGTATACACTATGAGTTTATGTGGTAGTAAAAAAATATTTTTCTGCTAAGAATGTAAGTTGTCTGGTTACGAATTTTAGGAAATGGTGATGGCAATATTTTAAAATTTTGGGATATGATTGTGAAATACAATAATTGGACTCATTCGACTCTACATCCGGTGGGTCTTCTACTGCCACGTGTCCTTTTTTTTTTCTAAAATCTCTACAGGTAAACCCTAGCGGGAAATATATTATAAAATACAAGAAAAGACATGTGGTAGCAGAAGACCCACCCAATAGTTATCATCGGGCGTAGGGTCGAAGAAGTCCCATATTTGGGGGAGGTGGATGTTAATTATGAGTGATCATCAACTTTCTTTTTTCTATTACTTTCTGTTATTTTTTATCTTTACAAACACCACTAACTGTTTTATATACATTTAAGAAATTGTATTTGACGTTAGAGCAACTCCAATGGGAGTATCAAATGAATTATCAAACCCATAAATTACCTTTTTGATATCCTAAAATAAAAAAATTCTACTTCAATGGAAGTATCAAAATTGGTAAGTATTTTGATAATCTACCTCTTCATAAGTAAAAATACATCCTGAAAATTGAGTTATCAAAAAATTAACCACCTAAACATTCAATTACAAAATGACACGTGACAATTTCAAATAAAACCACTAAAAAACTTCCAATTGATTATTAATTTTGATAACCATGGTTGGAGTAGATGAATTGTAAATGAATATTAAAATATTATCTTAATTATCAAATGAACATTTGATATTTCAATTATGATGTTTTGCATTGGAGTTGCTCTTATATAATACTAGTATTAGTAATTCATCGAATTTTGCAAATCATAATTATTATTTATTTTCTATTTCCATGAAAAATTCCAGCCATATAAATATAGTTTTGGTGTTATTTCCATCTTCAAATTATCTACCAAATTTATATAAAATATCATAAATATCCTTCAAATTTTTCTAATCCACATCCTGTATTGTATTCGCTTAATTTTCTTCTATTCTAAATCTTTTTTCTTTCTTTTTTCTGCAATGAAACCTGAAAGAGTAAGACAAGATTCTAAAAGTCGTCCAATTTGAATCAGTTTCTGGGCAGATATGCTGAATGAAAAGTAACATAGTTTTCGAATTTAAATCCACCAAAAATAGCAATATCAAAAATCTCTGTTTTTTTTTTCTTTTCTACAAGACGCTCTTAAGTTATTTTTTGAAGAACGAAAATTTCTGCTCTTTTTAACCTTCGGGTGTTTTTCTTCGATGAATGTATCGTTCACTTAAGGTGGAGATAATGGATTATGTGGTAAATATTCTTGTGAAAAAATGGTAGAGTTCTTTGTGAATATTTTAATTAGTTTGGTGGTGGACGGACAATTTACGAATTTATACATAATTTGGGTAAAATAAAAAAATATATTTTATATTTTTTTTATAAAGAAAATATATGTAATTTAATGGTGAAATAAGACATTTTAAGAGTGAAAATAGACCTTCTCTTTCGACTATCGTACAATAATTTACAATTCGTACGCGAAAAGATATAGGACTTGAATCCTTCAGGTATACGATTCTTCACATTTATCTAACATTATTATTGGTAACACTTACGCTCAATTATTACCAATAAAATATCGATAAATAATTGTATTTATTTAATGAAATAATGCTATTGATCTGATCATAGAGACAAAACAACTAGAGGATTCCTTGTTTCACCATTATGAAAGTAACAAGAAAGTTGAATCTTTAGCTAATAATTGTAGTAAAATATAATTTGAGTTAAGAAAAGTCAACTATTCGTTAAATGCCCGCATCAATGTTTACCATGACTTTTTGCAACTTTGACATTTTTATTCAAAAATTGTGACACTAAGGATTTGATTATTATACATACATGTAAGCATCTATAAATGAATATACTTGGGATTGCTATAATTCTATTAATTTAAAGATCATATAATAAATATTTGATAAAATATATAATAATTATAACTTATTAACTTTATAAAACTATTATTAATATTTTTTATATACGAATTTATTCATCAATTTAAGATATCCAAAAATGAATAGAGGGTTATGGAATAGAGGACTCAAATATAGTGAAGATAAATTGTTTAGATTCGAAAAATCTTGCAATTTCAACTTGGATTAGACGTTCATGCAAATATACACTTATAAATTGTTTTCTTGATTGTAAATTTTGATAAACTGATAATTAACGTGGTTTCAGGAATTTGGATGATTTATTAGATGGTAAAAGTATACAAGATTTGTAAATCTAATGAAATTGTTGAATTATGGTAATTCTCATATGAAATCAAGTGCAGAGGTTTTTTGTAATTCTCATTTGATTATTGCATTTAATATATTCTCAGCAAAACCAATTAATTAACATTGTGTTTTTGTACCTTAGAAGCTCAACGGTTATAATATATTTTAGTTAATATTGATAAATATTTTTTTTTTAATACTATGAATACCATCTTCTTATTACTAAGCAGTGGAAGCAACCAACGCATTATAATATAATATTCGAGGAATTTATTTTGGGTGAATTGGATTCGACCCAAATTTATTTGTGGTCCATCATGAATATAATAATATAGCCGAGTAGAGACAAATAAATATAATACACGAGTTCGTCCAGCAACATCGTGAGAATGAAAAATAAAAATAAATAAAATAAGAGAGAGAGTGAGAGAGAGAGAGAGAGAGAGAGAGAGAGAGAGAGAGAGGATCTAAGTTGAACAAAGATTGAGAGGTTAATGCTGCGCAACTCAAAAAATAAATTAATGGAATACTAACTGAGATTTATTTATTTATTTATTTCATTATTAGGTGATGGATTAGTTTCCTTAACACGGATCCCCCGCGGAGTTGAAATTAGGAGAATCTTACTACTGTCATGCTTAATATTTAGTTTAATATTATTTTACAAGATCAATTAATATATTATATGTGCATGTTCTTTTCTTTTCTTTTCAATGGAAAGTTGAAAAGTCAATTACGAGTAAGCCCTAAACCATGCAAGGCCCCATGCACACATCCTGCCCATCGAATTCCCACCCGGCCGGTTCAGATTGCCACAGTGGTTGTACATCACTCAAGTATGGGCGAGTCCATTTGGCAAAAGTAGACTCAAGCCACTCTCGGCCGGTTTTTTTCTAGGGTCGTTTTCACAATTAGTAAACAAAATAGAACATGTTTTCACACTTTTTTTTTTTATTTTGGTAAAACTCTCTTTACATTTTTTTATGTGTTTTCTAAGATTAAAAAAAAATCCTAAAAATTAGAATAAAAAAAATTGATGGATGTTGAATGCGCCACGCCACATGGCTACAGGTCATGAAGTCGCCACACCACGTGGCGGTACTAAATGGAGTCGCCACACCACGTGGCGGCTAAATAGAGTCACCACACCACGTGGCGACATACCCTATTTGGTTACACTCTTCAAAACAGTCCTATTTTGTTTACTAATTTTGAAAATGACCATAGAAAAAAACAAGCCCAAGCCACTCTCAAACTATTTTTTTTTTGTTTTTTTATAGGGTAAATTACAATCACCCCTGAGGTATGGTCAAATTATGAAAAAACCCCTCTTGTTTGGATAATTACATACTACCCCTCAACTATGAATCTTCTTACACCTCAACCCTTATGGTATCAAATTCAACATAATCATCTAGATTGCGTGGAATGTGCTCTAGCTTGTACTCGTTTTGTGTAAAAATACAGTTTTTGATGCACCACAATCTGATATATACAAGCCAAAAAACACATCCTATTTAGATCATCTTACTTCAAAATGTAGAGCTCGAATGGGATCATTGTCGAAACCTGAAAACAAAATTAAAAAAAAAAAATCAAGACAAGGTAGCTTGTTGGTAAACACCTTGCACCTTGGACCATTTTGTCATAGGTTCGAGACACCAGGAGGGTAATTGGGGAACCAGTAACTATCCTCCTTTTAAAAAAAGAAAAAATAATGGGATAAAATGGGTACAAAAGTGATAATATTCCATA